AGCAGGGATACAATTAATGTTAAAGGGATGGTTGAGTAAGGGCTTAATAGTGTCCAAGAATATAAAACTACCCAAGAAGACACTGACCAGCTAGTTGCTCTCTTTATCTACTGGGTACAATGTGGGGACAACATACCTTCAAGATTAAGATCTATAAAGACATAATACTTGCAAAACCAGGGGTAGAAAATGCAAAAATGATGCAGCAAGAAACAAACAAAAATGCTTTGACGGTCTCTTCCCATAATGGAAATTGGTCAGCACTGATTCTTCCACATTTCTTTGCCTTTCCGCTGTGCTTCAACATGCAATCCTGCAGCAGCTTGGGTGTGAGAACAGCATAGCACAACAGTGCTAACGATCCAACCCTGTATCTAACACACGTGCCCTCTGCTCTAATCGTGGGTTCCCAGTCAATTTGGAGTTCCAACCTTGTATCTGCATTTGATTTCCTGATACCTCCACCCATCTGGAGAGCTTCATGTGGCATGAATTTATGTTTAGTTAAAGTGGATTCAAATTTCCAGAGGAATTTAAAAAAGAATTTCCAGATACATTTAGGAAGTGGCAAAGCAGGGGCTGGAATTCTGATCTGATACTGCCTTATGACTCAAGCACTGCAGACACACACGAACACACGCACAGCAGCCATTCCTGAGAGCCAGTGTTTTTCTGAATGGCACTTAGCCCCAGGTGGGTCTCCCTCCTCCCCACTCCAGTTCTGTCTGGTTCCCCTTCTGGACCTGTGCTGAGGTACTAGGGAACATAAGCAAATTAATTTTAAAACAGGCTCAAAAAAATTAGAAAGTTAAATTAATTTGCATGAAAATTCCCAGTAAGAATGATTTTTGTGTTCTATGCTCCTATTGACTTTCCATGCGGACATACACTCAATTCCAGAGAGGCTGACGTGGCTTGGTATGGGCACGTACACATGGTGCGTGTCCTGCAACAGGCTGACAGCAGGTCAGCCAGAGTTCTGCTTAGCCAACAACCACAGAGTGCTCCTCCCCATAGGTGCGAACAGTTGAACCCAGCAGAAACATCCCGGAAAGATGCGATCCCTAAACAAAAGGAGCAATCACACCTCAAGTGGAAGTTTATGATGTTATGGTTCACAATGAACATTAGCCTCTCCCACTAACGTCAGCAGTAATTCGCTGCTGAACAGCAACCATAAAAATGATCACTTAGTGAAAGGAAAGCATAAATCAGAGAAAGAGAAAGAGAAAGGATTCCAGCAGAAATATTTAAGCAAAGAAATCTTGTCCTGAGACAACACTGACCTGGTTACCCCAACTTGGGTCAGATTTATACAGATACCCTAAAGCAAGTCAAGATGCTGTTTGCCATAATATTTTTACCTGTAGCTGAAATGCTAACAGTCTGTGGGTTATTTCGAAGCTCCTAGGCACCTCTAATGACTGTAGCATTTATATGCCATGTTTCTTAACAACACATGCCTTTAACGCTCGCTGTGGAAAAAGGTCTGCCAATACCATCCATAACACACACATCAGAAAACACAAAAGACATCCAAATTGGTACTTTCCTCACCTCCTTTCCCCCTGCCTCATGTGATATGTGCACTAGAGGAGTAAAATTATGGTCATCAAAGGCAAGGTTGCAAATGATTAGGACCCACACCTTTCAAACAAAATGAAAAGTCAGTAATTTGAGGGCAGCCTACGGATTAGCTACAGTCTAGCTCTTAGGCCCCTGAAACCCACAGCAAATGCCCTTACTCTGGGCAAGCCCACCAGCCCCCTCCCGCCCACCTTCCCCACTTCAAGTCCCTTGTCATACTGCAAAGAGCTCTGAAAGGCCCTTGATACACACAGGAGATTATTACAGGGCTCACAGAAGCCAACTCTGTAATTACGGCTACAGTATGATTTCCATTATTCTCACACCCTGGTCTCAGTGGCTCACGAAACTTCCCGCAAGATCCTCCTGCAGCCCAGAAGCTTGTCAGGGCTGGGCCTCTGCCCAAAGGTGACTGTGGTCCTGATAACCTCTGGGAAAAGCAAAGCAGAGTTATTACAAGGAAAGGGGAGTGGTGCTTAGCGAGCAAAGGGAGGTGGGAAATTCTATTGTTTTGGAAAAATAAATAAACGGGCCACTTTTGCTTTTTATTATTTCAAACAACAGACTCGGCGGCCCAGCCTTCCTTTCCCAACTCAGACTGTCCCCTGGGCCGGCTGTGCTGAGTCTGCAGAAGCGGGAGCTGGGCTTGCACAAAGCTATTAAAAGGCTGCCACTCTGAGCCCATGGAGCAGAAAGTCGGGCTGCACCGATGGCCTGGCTGTCCCCTGGAGAACCGAGGGCTCATTCCCCATCCCATGACCCTTCCGCTCTTACCTTTCAAATGTTTATGCCTCACCAGCCCTGCCACTGCTCTGGAAATTAAAAGCAATATCCCAGGTGGCTGAAACAGAACTGTTCTTATATAAACCCACCAAAGTAAAAGATGGGAAATGCCAGCTGCAAATTATAAAGCCCCAAGCCTCCTGGTCAGGTGTTGCCTGTCGCTGCCAGCCTGGGTGACTTCTGGGCTATTTCCCCTGCCTGTCCCATGAGGGTGGTGTCTGAGCACTTTGCTTATCCAGGCTCCTGGGGGTGTTCTCATCCCACACTCATGGAGATGACCAGCACTTGACTTCCCTGTCGGGGAACAGGCTTCTGCAGGTAAGAAAGCACCCGCCACCTTCTGCCTCAGTCCACCCTCCAACCAACAGCACGCACCTGCAAGTTGACTGTTTGGGGTTTATGATGCAGCTACAGCCAGGAATCATGTCTCTCTCTCTCTTTTTTTTTTACAGGAAAAAATAACTCCCTGTTCTGATATGTGCATTGAACTTTCAGTGTTTGTTTCACTGACGTCATTCATTGTCCAATCAGCTCAGACAATGACACCAAAAAAATCCCCATCCAGAGTCTACTCTGTCTTGTCAGCACATAAATGATCCTTTGGCAGCTGGTAGGACATTAGGTGGGTAGGAACCTTTTAGGGCAGTGGAGAAAGTTACTTCTCTATTGCACTGCAACTGGGATCACTGGAGAAAAGAGGGAAGGCGCCCCAGATTGCCTTGCTTGTTTATTTACTCTCAGTAGTGTCTACTTACCCACTGGAGCAGGCAAAGCAATCAACAGACATTTCATTGTATGAGTTGCATATGGCAATGACTGGCATTTAGAATTCACTTTTCCAGCAAACCAAACTCATCGAATCATACTGAAGAATTGAGCCCGAGCAACCTACAGAAACATCCACAAGGTCCCCGCCCTAAAGCTCAGGCACTTCGGTCCTCAGTGTATACTGAGGCTCACTAGACACAATCGCAGCAAGCCCGGTTATCCGATCCCCCAGACTGAGGAAAGAGGAGAGGTGCCCGTGTCGACCAGGATTCCTGACAGCAACTGGAAGTGACGAGTGACAACGTGCACTACAGGGAGAACTGGGAAGGCCACGACCACTGATGCAGGAGTTGTGTGGTGACAACATGCCCACGCCTCGCAGCTTCTCCTCTGGGCGCCCGTGAAACTCAGTTCAACATGGAGGTAAAAATCACAAGGAAGCCAAGGCAGTGAGAAAAGCTTCAATTGTATTTACTATATTCTTTGCAGAAAGGAAGGAAACTATGAACTATAATAAACATAATTCTTAAAGACATGCAGATGATATTTAAATTACTTTCTAGTTGTGACACTGAAGGCATACGCTAAAATGAAGGGATCGCCTCTTCCTCGGTGACACTAGACACACGACGCGCTGTGTGCATCACCCTTGCACAGGGCTCTGGCGCTTCGCTGTGCTCATTGCTCTCTTTCCCAGCTGTTACCCATGTGATTACACGCTCGTCCCCCACTCGCAAGCTCTCTGCTCCCTGCGTCCCACCCTCCATGCTCTCACATTGCAGACCCATGACCTGGTCCACGGACATGTCAAGTTCACATAAAGAAACCATGTCTGGGCTGTCACATAGCAGGAGGACAGAATAGGCATGGTCCTCTAGATCTGCACAGAACATTTCCCCATGACCACCTGGATCTAATACCCAAAAATATAGCAAAGAGAAAAGTAGGGATCAAGGCTCAGTCTTGATCAGGCAGTGCCTCCTTACTCAGTCTGACTCACACAATGTCCAGAGAATTCCAAGGGAAGCCTAAAGAAGCAGGAGCTCCACATGGAGTCACCACTATTTCCTGGAAAAGACTGGAATGCAATTATCAGCCAACGGAACACAGGACCTATAGCCTACGTTCCTAGAAAGGCTTTTAACCCAACCCAGGAGGGCACACTACAGAGCCAGCTCCAACTCACTAAGACGAGAAGCTGGGAAGCAGAGAACGTTCCAGGATGGACGATGCTCCTAACACTGCGGTGGCCGAGGTCTCCCAGGGCCCAGAAGGCATCCAGCTACTGAGGATGAGGAAGACAGGACAGGCCCCCAGAGCATGCCTCTCTGCCCCGCCTTGAGCAATTTCGAGGCCCTGCAGCATCCATGGTTTCTTCATCCACGATTTTGCTCTTAGTCCCATTGGTAACTCTAATAGGTCCGCACTTTCCTCCATCTCTTCCTTGAATGGATTCCAGACAGATGCGCCAGGCCAAGGGGCTGAAGCAAGAGGAACAGTCATGTCCCACCCCTCTGCCCACCCACCCCCAACCACCTACACCTAATAAAGTCTTTTCCTTGGGGCACAAGCCAAAGTGGAACAGAGTACGCCATACGACAACCTAGTGAGGCAGGGCTAACACTTCTTATGTGCACACCAGCTCTAGGGAGGAGGTGAATCCACACGCCCACTGACAACCACATTACGAAGGCAGAGAAAGGACAAGGTGACCGTCATGACCTCAACAGCAGCATATCTCCTAAGCTCAAACCCCTGTCACTGGCGACGAGGCCCTAGGTAGTGGAAAAACATGCGATAATGTCCATCCCAGCGGGGACAGACTGGCTTCACATAACCAAAATGACCGACTCTCACCCTACCTTCTTCAGCTTGCCACTCTTGGTGCCCACGAAGGCCAGAGAGTGATTCTTGTAGACGTATGCGATGACAGAGGTCATGCGGTCCCTGTCCTCCGTGAAGACGGGAATGCCACGCACCATGTCGGACACTCCCAGGGGGGCATTCATGTCCAGGCCACAGAAGTTATCATCAATAGTTAAGAGCTGCAAATAAAAAAGGAAAATTAGAGGGGAGTATCAGGGCAATTGGCAGAGGTATCAAGGCAGGCAACTACAGAGCTAGAAGAATCCGTAGAGATGAGTCATCTGGTACAGATCTCTCCTTTTTTTGCATGAAAAACTCAGCTCCAGAGAGATTAGGTGACCTGCCAATAGTCACCTGAGTAGGTAGTTGCAGGACCATGGCCCAAGACACAGATCCCAGAGGCCTCTTCTCACCAGACTCCATGATCTCTCTGACCCTCCTCCAACCCTTCCAGACACCATCTCGGTAGCTTTGACCATCTCCATCACATGGAAAAGCACTGAGCCAGCCCTCGATGAGCAAAGGCCCCAGACAGCTCTGCCCAGGCATGAGAGGGATGTGGCCTGCATAACTACACACATGTCATTGAGCAGACACACAGATGAGGACTCGAAAGTGCAGAATAGAGAACTAGAAACATTAGCACATGAATGATGCCTCACTACAGAGGGGCTGGGAAAGGAGGAATGGGGGAAGGGAGGGCCCCAGGTGGTTCCTCACCAGCCTCAGTCTCAGGCCCCCTAATCTCTTCTGGAGCATGACCAAGAGGATCAGCCCTGGCCCTACCATGCCTGCACCAGCACTTCCCAAAGTGTCACCCGTGCCACCCCAGCCTCCCGAGATGCTCGACGTAAAAGGGCTCCTCAGGCAAATTTCTGGGAAACATTCTAAGTCATCTAAAGAGATTCCTAATGATTAGTTACATAAAAATCCTGAAAAGTCTTTTCAAGAAGAAATGTGTCTAACCTTGTCTGAGCCTCTCCCTAACATTTTATTCCCCAAACCGTTTTGACTGGAATACCTATTAGTGTTTTTTTAAAAGAGAATATTCTCTAGATATCCTGTGGGGCACACTGACCCAGCTCTTACTCCTAACTCCAAGAAATACAATTTCAGGAGTCAGGAACCAACAGGAAAAACCTTTGGGCCTGTTTCCCCCACAGTCCTTCTGGTTTAATCTTTCCCTTTTTTCCTCCAGCTCCCCCTATAACAAAGGGACCCAGTGGTCCTGTGGTACTGCGTAGTGGCAAAGACCTCATTGGTGGCTGGAGAGCAGCTTTGGTTTGGCTCAGACCTCTCCGAGGCACTGGGAACATATCCTGGATTTTCCACTTTCTTGGAAGAACTGTGTGGCCTCAGAAGAGTTACCCCGTCTTCCTGTGCTTTTATTTTCCACTCTATAAAGATGAAGGAAACAATTCCTGCTTTTTGATGGGCTACCATAAAGCCTACTGAGCTCATGCTTGTAAACGTCTTTGGACTTTGCAGAGAAAGGAGTGAAATAAAATACAAGGTGTCGCTTTATTGAAGGCTTCAATCCAGCCAGAGGAAAAGGCATCTGGAGAACAGCAGGCAGGCGTTTGCCAGCAGAACTGTGTGAAAGTGGCCAGCCACGAGTTCTCCAGAGCCTCGGGGGCTCCTCCGCTCCCCCCAGAAGCGGGGTGGGCAGCCATTGTGCATCTCAGGGAAGACAACATGCCAAGTATCTCAAGCCTCTCTCTGACCTGTCCCTTTCTTCCTGCCATGGTGGGCAGTCGGGGTAGACAAGGGGAGAGTGTGGCAGTCCCGGGCTGCCAGGTGCAGAGCAAATGTCTGCTCCATGCCTTCAATAGTTTCTGGCCTCTCCTGCAGGGTCTGGTCCAAGCCCAGACCAAACATAACTCTCTCCCCTCCCCCTAAGTAAAACTATAGGAGTCAAATTTAGGAGGGACCTTTCAAGGTCTAGTCTAATCTTTATCATTCTTCCCTAAAATGAGGAAATGGGGAAGGAGACAGGTAGTGGCAGATAAAAGGGATGGACAGAGAAAGAAAAAATCCAGGTAAAGGGATGACAATGCCTTTTCCTACTGGACATAACTGCAGCACCCTGCCAGACATTCCGAGGGCAGCCTGGGTGCTGGCAATCCTCATGGCCCTTGGAAGTTCTTGCTTCTGATTCGTAAGCAGTCCGGATCCCTGACTTTCTCATGCAGGGACATCTGCCATCAGCAAACTTTGCACTTTGCCCACTATGATCCATTTTCCAAGTAGATGAGGCTAAGTGATTGTCCACACTGCACAGGGAGAAACTGAGGCAGGGAGCAAGGCAGCTCATGTTTCACAGTCCCCCACTACGCCTGCCACAAACCTCATTAATCTCGGGAGGCTTCAGGCCTCTCAGCCCCCAGAATCTCATTTCCGAGTGGTCAGTGTTACTGAATACAATTCTTCCCCACAGCTGGACAAAACACAAGTAAATCAACAGCCACCTACAAAAAGAGCACAGGCACCTGGTCAACTGCATCATTAAATCACGCTTGCTTGGAGGCAGAAAGTCAGGGACCTGTGAGTCCCTTCCTCTGCAGCACCTCACATGGCAAGGGGCTGGGGGCAGGATTTTTTCATCAGAAGGAAGCCAGGAAAGCCTAGCCTGGCAGCCAGAACCAGCCTCTGGCCGTCTTCAGCTCCTGACAGCTCGCTGTGGGGCCCATCAGGAGGCAGGTGTTGGTGCCTCACCTGACCGTCGCAGCCAGCCCCACACCACCTACCTCAGGGCTGTCGTCAGGTTAGAGAGTAGCATCCGGTCAGGGATGACTTTCTCCCCAGGCTGGGTTCGTCCCTTATGTGGGTCCCCAGAAAATGAAGATGAGATGGTGGCCTTGGACCAAGTGCAGTCCAGGTCTGTGTGGCTGCTGAGGTCCCCAGCTGTGGTGCAGGTGGCCTCACTCTTTGTTCCCTCGATGCTGGGGCAATGGGGAGGGATTTGTAACACTGAAGTGGTGAAACGCTCACAGGACCTGGGTTTGAATGGCAGCTAAGCTCTTCCCAGCTGCACAGCTTGTTCCTGCTCTTCTCTGAACCTCACTGTCCCCAGCTGTCAAATAGCAAGCAGGACCATCGTGAGGGCTGGGTGGGGTAGTAGGAGTGAGGGCACCTGGTGAACTGGGAAGCTCTTCATCAGTGTAAGATGCAGTGTCATGCTGGGGTTTTAGTGGAAACCCAGTCCAGAGCAGGGAGTGGCCCTAGCATGCCTCCTGACCTGCTGGGTCTGAACTGTGGCCACTGGGTAATTACAGTACAGGGGGAGGAGGACAAGGCAGTGTCTCCCAAGGCCTGCAGACCTGGGAGGCCGAGGTATAGGGAGCAGATGCCTGGTCCCTGAAAGGGAAGGCTAATTGGTGAAAGCCTTGGACAGGTGAGGGTTGGTGTGGATTCCTGAGCACCCTGGGCAATGGGGGAGGAGAGTGTCTGCCCTGGCTCTGTCGGAGCCTTCCCCTGGGCCCCATTAACTGTGAGATTAGAGCCACAGCCAGAAGAGCCAAGACTGGACTCAGTTGTAATCAGGAGCCCAGCCATGCCACAGATCCAGGGCTAGCCTCCCCTCCTGTCACTCCATAAATACCCACGACAAGTTAAAGCCACTGCTATCATGCTTATTTATTAGAGAATAACTCCATTCTTACGAGGGAAGGAAATACATTTCCACTGCATGGAAATATATATGGTGCTCACTCAGGCAGCCCTATCTAGAGGCCTTAGACTGGGCCAGCCCCTCTGGGTCCCTTCTGCCCTTATCAGGAGGACACTATCTTCTTTTCTCTGCCTCAAGTGTCCTCATGGAATGAGTGGGGTATAAATTAAGATGGGAGATCCACTCATTCCAGGGACTATGAGCTCAAGGACAGGGACCAGGTTTTATGCATCTTTGTACCTTTAGATTAGTGCCTGGGTCATAGCTGGTTAAGATATGTGTGTCAAATGGACGGATGGATGAGCAACGAAATTAAACCCTGGGTTTCACCGTGGATAACAGTATGGAACTAGAGCCAGGGTGCCCAGGTTTGAAACCCAGCTAAGCCACTTCGTGCTGTGTGATCTTGGACAGGTCACTTAACTTCTCTGTGCCTGAGTTTGTCATCTGCAGAATGGAAATTATAATAACAGTGCATACTTTGTAGTGCTGTGGTGAGAATTAAATGATTTAATATACACAGAACAATGTCTGGCACTTAGTAAGTGCCATAGGAGTGTTAGCTTTGACCATCATTTGTCACCAATAGACAATTCAGAAAACTCTTGTGAACCTTGGCATCTTTGAAGAAATTCATGGTATCTACCTCAGCAGTGTTATCAAGACAAAGGGTCTAATGTCAAGATGAAATAGCAAAGGTGGCACTTCCTGAAGATCTTTCAGAACCAGATAGATATTTGGCCAAGGAAGGAGGAGAGATATGATCTCAGATCCAGAAGATTGAGCGCTATTCTTCAGAAATGTAAATTCTAGAGCCCCACTTCAGACCTACTGGATCAGAAAGTCTGGGGGTGGGACTCAGGCATCTTAACACCCCTCCAGGTGACTTTGAGCTGCGCATGCTAACATAGAGAAGCGCTGGCCTAGGTCACCGCAGAGGACCCTTCCTAGCTGAGGGCACTACAGAGAATGGCATGTGACAAGCAGTCCCACCCTGCAGCAGGACCCTGAACTGGATGTGGATGCAGAGAGGGCCCATGGCAACCTCCTGGGGGCCTGGCGAGCCTGGGCGGTGAAGGTGGCCTGGGGAGCAGAGCTGACACTCCGAATTACAATCTAATAGCTCCCTGCACTTCTCTCGCGCACCGCGGCAAAGGTTACCGTGCAATTACGTGGCGCTACATACAAATGACAGAGCAGTTACGGTTACTTTACCAATTACAGGGAAATTGCTCCCACTCTGCAGAGAGACTGGCGCTCTGAAAAGCTCTATCATCTCCACAGAAAGGGGATTTTAAATGCTGCCACCACCCTTCTTCAGGCTGTCTCCCAAGGACCCCACAAGTGTCGGGTGGTCTCTGTGGAGACTCCTTGAGAAGGGTGGAGGAGGGGTAGACCTGGGAGACAGTGGGGGGTCTTCCCTTGAACCCCTTGACATCGCCCCCAACCCCAGGCCTGGATGACACACTCTTAAGGAAACAACTATCACCTGACACCCGTGCCAATCAT